AAATGCAAGGCAGAGGAAAGGGGGAGCCAAGGACACACTTTGTCATGACTCTCTGGGCGGCATGTTAGTCCCAAACAGCAGAACGTTGGCCGCCGGCAGCCCTGTGCTCACAGTCCCCGTGTCACCTCCTTCCCATTACTGGGCAACGTTGCCACTTGCCCGGGCATTTTGCACATCTGTATTTTAGCACATGCTTCCTGCTCGGTTGTGGGACATTTCCCCCCGTAAAGTTCTATTTTCTAACTGTCAGGTGAGACCGCATTGTGCTCCACGCTCTCTGTCACCTTGGCCTGGCTGGAGAAAAGCCTGGAGTTTGTTCCACTTCAGCCATTTCTGAAGGCGGAAATGAGTGATGATGCATCCAGGCCTGTGGTTCTTGCTCACGCATTCGAAAGGTTTTTTAAAGCCAGTCCCATGATTGTGTCCTGGTTCACAGCAGTCGACCAGTGCCTTTGTGGTGGAGCTTCGTGCTGTTTGTTTGTACAGGTGAGAGACTCACTGCCTCACAGCTCTGTGTGGTAGAGGGACACCCCCTTATACAAAGTTGGCCCGGCTCTCCTTCCCTTGCAACGAGGGTCCTGTTTGGAATAGACTCACGCACCCTTAAGCTATAGTCTTATTGAAGAACCAAAGTTCTTGTAAGTGTTCTCATCTCAGACATACTTGGAAAACACTGAGTTAATGATATTTGGTGTTTAAATATCATTCCTCACTAAAAGAGACCAGGGTTCACTCAAGAAATGACCAACTTCAGGACCAGAGCAAGGAAAATACAAGATGAGCATAGAACGTCTGCTGTCTAATGAGGAGATCTTAACAGAGGGAAAAGGTGGGCATGTGGCCAAATGACCCAGGGATCTGTTTGAAGAGTCTTCTACTGGGCAAATCTGGGACAGTTTGGGCATCACCTATACTGGTACTGATGGATGATAACCCACTGAATGAAATAAAAACAAAAAGAAATGATTCTTTATTGATATAACTGAACAAACGGGTGAATGAACTGCGGAGAAGGGAGGCTGTTTCTTACACTAGAACGCCATCAATGAATCCGGGAATAGGGCGGAGTTAAAAAATCATCAGTGGATACTAAAATTAGTGGATGAAAGTTAGATGAAGAAAAGGATATGTATGTAATCTCAAAACATCTCCCTACAAAGTACTTTTTATTTACAAAAGGAAAATTAATAACATAGTAGAGAAAGAAGCCTAGCAGACATCGCCTTAACCATGTGATCAAGTTAAACGCCCATTTCATGTGCTTCCTGGTCCGGTGCACTATGAAGACACAATATTACTATTTTGGTAACCTGCCCAAAATGGACCCCTTAAATCTAATCATAAAATAATAATAATAATAATAATAATAATAATAAGAAGAAGAAGAAGAAGAAGAAGAAGACAGCCCTGGCCGGTTTGGCTCAGCAGTTAGAACATCGGCCCATGGATGGAAGGGTTTCGGATTTGATTCCTGGTCAAGGGCACGATTCCTGGTCAAGGCCATGTACTTGGGTTGCAGGTTCAATCCCCGGTCCCAGTTGGTATTATGTGGGAGGAAACCAATTGATGTTTCTCTCTCCCTCCCTCCCTCCCTTCATCCATTCTATCTAAAAACCAAGGGAAAAATATCCTTGGGTTAAGATTAACAACAACGAAAATACATGAGACGGACCCAGTCCTGCATAATAACTGGCCTGCACACATCGCACTACTAAAGCAGCCAAGGGCTGAGGGACTGCTCCAGACGGCCGGGGTGAGGGGTCAGCACAGGGACATGGCAGACTAAGGGCAGAGCTTGGTCACAGGCCGGATTCCTGGACTGAGAACCAAAACCATGACCTACAGTGGGCGTATCTGGGCACTGGGCAAAATTTGAAAATGCACGGTAAATGAGATAATAGTATCACAGGGAATTTGCTAATTTTAGTAATTATACTGGAGTTGTATTCAAGAGAACATCCTTATTCTTAGAAACTATACACTTAAGTATTTATAGGTAAAGGGGTGTATTTTCTCCCACTTGCCACAGAATTACTCAGGAAAAGAAATCTTGCTTGTGGGGTGATAGGGGAAGCAGGCGGGGTGAAATGAAGTAGCTGGAGGTGGTGGGTGAAGGTGTGGGCTCCAGTCGATCGCTCCCTGCAGCTTCCCCGTCTTCTTTCGGCTCTGGGCGCCGTGTTTCTCCAGGAGGACGGTACACTCCCCGTTGGGAGGGACTCGCTTTGGGGCTGCTCTGCGCGTGGCTCTTCAGGGCAGGTGGCCTCGAAGTGTGCAGCCACCTCCACGCCGGCCGGAGAGCTGCTCGCAAAATAGGTTTCTAGCCTCTGCCCAAATGTGTCTCATCAAGAATAACACTAAAGTAACTTAAAGTCATTTCACTCGGCAAAACCCCATCTACTTATTTACCCTCACGTGTAAGATGGCGTCACACGTTAACATAAGTCAGTAGACTACAACTTGAAAGTAATAGCCAGGAAACTCGGTATTTCAGACCTATGCTGCCGTCCTTTTCACAAGACATCGTGTTATCCCGATGGGTGGAGCCATGACTCCGAGACATTTTCTAAAAATGAATGTTCTCACCCAGTTATGAATGAAAATGTCCTTGAAGAAGGCTAAGTATTTTATATCACACATTATTCAGATGATGCATTAAATAACACCCCCTCTGCTCATGTGCTGCAGAATAAGAAAACCTTCTGTGAACTTACTTAAATTGAGGACCTGAGTTTTAGAAGGAAAGTGAAGCCCGGCTGGTGTGGCTCAGTGGTTGAGCACTGACCCATGCACCAAGAGGTCGCCGGTTCGATTCCCAGTCAGGGCACATGCCCAGGTTGTGGGCCAGGTCCCCGGTGGGGGGCATGCAGGAGGCGGCCAGTTGATGTTCTATCTCATCAATGTTTCTGTCTCTCTCTTCCTCTCCCTTCCTCTCTTTCTGAAATCAATAAAGGAAAAACAATTTTTTTTTAATAAAAATAAAAGGAAAGTGAAGTGTAATTTTCTGAATATACTTGTGTGGAGTATATTCCTTGGGATAGTAGCAATGTTCCCAAAGCAACTCACCCAGTATTAAATTGTTTTGGTTTTTTGTTTGTTTGTTTTTTTTATCCTTACCCAAGGATACTTTTTCATTTTTGTTCAGGTAGAGTGGGAGGAAGAGAGAGAGAGAAACATCGATGTGAAAGGGACACATCGAGTGGTTGCCTCCCACATGACCCCAACCGGGGCCGGGGACAAACTGCAACCGAAGTACATGCCCTTAGCGGGAACCGAACCCAGGTCTCTCTGGACCACAGGCCAACGCTCTAACCGCTGAGCCAAACTGGCCAGGGCCAGTATTAAACTGCATTCATGATGTCTAAAGCTATCTAAACCTAAAGGCAACACATTTGTAAGAAGCTGCCAGATTCAGTGGGAATTCACAATCTGAGAAAAATTATTTACCTTAAGAAAGAAAATCCTGGAAAAGAATCTGTCCATTCTCCTCCCATCCACTTGGGTACCCGAGTTATCCTAGACAGTGTCCTGATTCAGGCTACCAGGTCTCACCCTGCAGAGAAGAAATGACACCTTGTTTTTAACATATTGGTTAATTCAGTTGAAAGGACTCTGTTTACCTTTGACCTGTACTTGTGCTAGTCTCTGTGACTTCGCTTTCTCTGCTGGGAAGTTGTCCTTCAGTATCAAATCTCCAGGTTCCATCTGGGGTGTGGTTCAGTCTGTTACAGAAAATAGCATCGTGTTATTTGGAAAAATGAGGGGAAAGAGGTCGTGGAAGAGATCTAATGATACAGGAGATTTGATATAATGTAAGGAGCGGGGTCATTGTAGAAGATTCAGTGGAATCACATTCTTGTTAGAAATATTAAGATGTCCTGCCAAATGTTAACTTGACAATATGGTGTTGGTGGTGATGGTGGCAGCGGGTGGTGATAATGACTTGTTGAGCTCTGACGAGGGCTGCATACACGGACATGTTTGGTCTCTACTCCCACCCTACCGAGGGTAAATGCATAAAGACTTGATTCTGTAGATGAGGAAGCTGAATTAATGTACTTACCTGGGATCTCACAGGCAAGTACATGAGGAAACTGGAATAGGAACCCAGATCTGTTATTTTATTCATACGTGTGGTCCCAGGAGAATACTCTCCGGTCTCTTTTTGTTCTCTGAATTGTGTGAATTACCAGAGTGTTCAAGCATTAAAAGTATATGATGATTTTAATGATTTCAAGATGTATCTATATTCTGCTGTTTGCAGAAGAAATCCTAGCCAGATGTCAGAGAAGTTACCTAAGGTCAGGATGAGAGCACCTGGATTTTACATTCTTCCCCCGACGTTTAATCTCAGCCAAGTTTATGTCAACTTTCCGAAGCACTCATTCCTCCTTTGTAACAGAGCGGAGGAACCTTCCCTGCCTCCACAGGTCATTAGATGGATTGACTGAAATAACGTATGTGATGGCTTTTCCAAACTGTGAGGTGGACGGCATCATTATTGTCATTACCAGCGTATTTCTTTGTGGAGTCACCGAAATATTCCATGTAGACTATTCCTCAAGGCTACCAAGAGCCCTTCGAGTTCTCATCATTAGAACGGGTGGTGTTTGTAAAGATGTGCCTGTTTGAGCATTTATAACTGTAACATGTGGATTGAGTCCAGCAGTTCAGTTTCTGCTTCAAGGTGTGTAACTCCACAAGAAATGTGCTTCTTAACTGGAAATTTCCACCATACCGCGAGCACTAGGTAACAAGGTGTTGGTGCTGTTTGTTTTGGGTGGCAGAGGCATGTGAGAAGGTGTGTGTTTTGGTGATGCTTGCTGATACATGGAGGTAAAATGATGTGATGTCTGAGCTTTGCGCTCACGTGACTTAGCAAAGAAAAAATCTGGTAGATGAATAACCTTAATAAGTGGAGAACTGGTTCATTGTGCTAGTCTCTCCACTTTTGTGTAGGTATGGAAATTTTACTAATACATTGTTTAATTATTCCTTTACAGATGCAGATTTTCTTTTACAATCCAGACGACTTTGATAGCTTTCAAACTGCGATTTCTGAAAACAGGATCATCGGAGCCATGGCCATATTTTTTCAAGTAAGTTAACAGTGGCCCAAGTACTTCAACCAGAGAGTTCTTTGAGTATTTTTTTTTTAATTCACCAAAATTGTTCTATGTATAATGAACGCATCTGTTTTCTAGTTCACACCTGTCTAAATGAAAGATATTTCATATTGTCTAATGTGTGATTTAAAATGTAAATAAGTATGTTTAGAAACATAATGAAAATTTTTGCATGAATTATTCTGATTTTATGGCTACTTGACTGGTACACAGATTGAAGAACACATTTATCATCTAAGTTACTTCACTGCTAAAGCATTTTGAACGGTTCCTTCAGCATATTAAGAGGCTGATGTAAAAAAAAAAAAAAAAAAGGTGGTTTTCTTTGGGACAACTTTAAAATTTGACATTACTTGCAAGTAGATTAAGAAATAGAGACCACTTTTCATTCCCTCCCAGAAATCCCTAACTAGAATATTTATTGAGATCATTTCTAAGTTAGTGTGTTTATGATTTGCCAGTGTACCTGGCTTATATATTTATTCTGTACCTAGAAGGCAGACCTTGCATTCTTCCGTGGATAATGCTGTCCAAACTTTTTTAATACATCAAATCAAAGTGATATTGATCGCCAAGTGTCTTGACCAAGTAGCCTAGAGAAACCTGGTGCTTTTTGTGTGTGACTAGTAGATACATGGCTGGTCTTCCATTCGTAAAATTTGCCCAAAGACTATGTACAGGTGTTCCTCTTACCAATGACTGATGGTTGGAAAAAGGTACCTTTCTGATAAGTCAAAGGAACATTAGAACCTTCTCCAACATGTCCCTTTAACCTTTGTCTTTTGGGGCAAGCTCCTTTGCCATTGAGATGGAGCTATTCTTGTTTGGGGTATGTTACTTTCACTACTCGTTTTAGTGATAAAATAATATGATGGACAATTCTCTCTACTGCTTATCTCTCCCTCTTAACTACCCTCTCTTCCTTTCCTTTTCTTGGATAAAGGCACATGTGGGAGATTATATGTGGAAAATTGAAAAGCCTAATACTCTACTCACACATCAAAAACAGTGGGAGTGGTGGTCATCAGCATTGATTATGGTACTTGTTTTCAAACTGTGTGTTCTGATCTACGGGTGGGCTGTGAAGTCATTTGCGGGAGTCCTGACCAGCATTTTAAAAATAATGAAATAGAATAGAAAAAATAATCAGAAAATATTAGTATGTCACACATAGTAAAGTTAAATATGTTTGTAGAAGTTTCCTCATTTGTTTAAATGCAGAGGGATGCAGGCTATGTACTGGGTCATGATATAAAATGTATTTGCTGTTGTGGGTTATAGACAAATATTTTGGAAGACATCTGTTCACGTTCCATGTTGGGCTGATCTCTCTCTTGTTCCCATTGTTCTCCCACACATATATTTTTCCTGATTCCTTTCATGAAGCATAGTAGAGTGTAGTGTTTTAAGAGCTTATTCACTGGAGTAAAAACTATTTGCTTTGAATGCTTTTCTCTTCTACTTAACATCTGCATAACCTTAGTCTCCTGATCTGTGAGGTGGGGATAGCAACTTCTACACTTTCAAGATTGCAGAAGTCTGCCCTGGCCGGTGTTGTTAAGTGGTTAGAGCATCAGCCCATGCACCAAAGGGTCATGGGTTCGATTTCCGCTCAGGGGCACATATCTGGATTTTAGTATCAATCCCTGGTCCCAAGCGGTATGCATGAGGGAGGCAACCAATCGATGTGTCTCTTTCACATCTAAGTTTCTCTTCTCCCCCCCCTCCCCCCCACTGTCTCTAACAATCAATGGAAAGGATATCCTCGGGTGAGGATTAACAACAACAAAAAAAATAAAGATCGCAGAAGTCATTAAATGAAGTCTCGAGTATCCATCCTGGCATGTTAGACACTGGGAAATGACATATGTAATATGTAATATGTAATACATGTCTGTGACTATGGGATGGAAACCCCATGGTGTGTCTTCTCTGCATGAACAGAAAACTGTTCTGGACACTGTCCTGTTGCCAGCTCACCTGGGTCCTGTCTAGATCCCTCCTGCTTCTAAACCACAATTTGTCTGCCTTTGACAATCTGGGGTCACTTGAAACATTCTTAAACAATTCCCACGTACGTGATTAACCCCTTGTTTCTGTTACTGTCCTCTTGGCGTGCCCATGCGGCTGTTCTCGTAGCTGGACCTCTACTGCCATAACTCTGCCATCAGATCTGGCCCCGCCTCGTCTGTCACGCCCAGTGCCCACCACAGCCAGCTCAACCGGGCCCAACGTATGGGTCACCTTTTTTATGGGAAAATAAAATTTGCAAATGTTTTAGAAGTACGAAGAGGGCTAGTTCACAGCATGCTCCGCCCAAAAGCTTTTTGTTTTTCTAGCTCTGTACACTCTTGTTACATACAAGACCAGTTGGTCTTAGGCAGGGAAAGCACATGGGTGTGCAAACCGCAAAACGCCTCAGTGGGAAATCTAGGTTTTGAATCTTAAAGGATTTCTAATGACTGCTAGCTCACATACAAAGACATTCAAGGTGCATTTTATCTAATGAGTTCTTCTCCAGATTTTGGGTTGCTGTCCTCTAGACACAAGTAGAGGGCAGATCATATAAAAGGGAACAGAGCTGTTTGTAGGCAGCTGCGGGAGCTGCTGCTTCGTGTTCCTTGTCAGCCCACAGACGCGTTTGTGCGCCGGAGTCCGAGCTGGGCGCCGGCGGGAGGAACGCCGTGGTCGCTCTTTTAATCTCGCAGTCCAGTGAGAGCCCATGTTGTGCGGTCTTTGTGTTTTGAGTCTTTCTATAAGAATGCTGAATTTGGGAGTTTGGTGTTTCTCCCCCAAGTGGCTAGTTAAATCCTGGTATGTATTTCCCACTTCAAACCTGCCCTGTTCCAGATTGCGGTTGAAGAAGTGTTGATCATCCTTTCCATGCTGACTCGGAGCCAGGAGTACCACCAGTTGCCCCGTCAAAGACAGTGAATAAGCTGCTGCCCACTAGGACCCCACAGTCCCATGTGATAAAGAGGGGGGTGGAGAACTCCCTGCCTTGGAAGAGGCTGTGCTCTGACTCGGTGCTCACGAGCCCACATATCCACCCTCCCGAGGGCGTGATGCCAATGGCCCGGGCCACGTCTGGCCAGCTGAGCCCTGCAGCGATGCTGTAGCCTCGATGCTGACTGACATTAGAATAATTGTTACACTCCATTTTTTATTATCTCTATTTATTTCTTTTTCCTTATGTACCTGTTATCCCAGGTAATTTTAGCTCTGTCACTGTCTTTGCTGATTAGGTATGATGAGTTCATGTGTCCCAAACACCTAGACAAACACAGACCTAAGGGGCCCGTGGTTGACCAAAGAGCCGTGTGTTGCCCAGACCAGAGGTTGGAACAGGAATAGCTGTGGAACGTGCATTGTGTTTACTTACAGTTCTTTTCTTTAGTTAAATTTGGAAGATTTTATGTAAGAGGTCTAGACCATGTAGCAGCAGTCAGAATCTGAGAGTGGCTGTCCGTCTACTTTGAAGGGGGTTTGCCTTCCCATTGCAACACAGTCTTCTTCATGCCTTCCTGTCAACATGATCTGAAGATCATAATCCCGACCCGGACCCCAGGAACTTGGAGTGGTAGCTGACATCTTTTAGTTACAGAGAGTTGAAGGTCAGTGTCACTGCTGAAAGAAGGTGAGCCAGGTCTTGACTGAGTGCTTAGTGTGAACACCAATGAAGGGAGGAAGGACCACCTCCATGTATGGAAGACAGCAAACCATGGCGGCTGAATATGGTTGTGCGCATTTGAGCCCACACAGCTCTGCGAGGTGCATTCACTTCGCCGCCACTGCCAAGTGGAACATTGTCGCAGTTCTCCAGCACGTGGCAGTAAGGTTTTCTAGTTCCTATACAACTTTGGACCAGCAGCCCTCAGGAAGATACAGGGGAAAGAAAGGGTGATGTTTGATTTGAAAGGATTTTTAAATTAATTAAGTATGATAAGAAATTGGCAAGGGATGAAGGTACTTGTTGTAATCCACCGAAGAAATAATTTAATGCTTGTTTAACTAATTTATTAAGTGCAAACATTTAAATGATTATTTTCTGTTTGTTAAAATAGAATCTCCAGTATTCTTTACCATTAGTCTGATTTGAATTCTTGTAAAAATGTAAAATACCAAAAGTCATTAAAATGCTCTTTTTTTTTTTTTTTTATCCTCACCCGAGGATATTTTTCCATTTTTTGTACAGATAGAGTGGGAGGGAGAGAGAGTGAGAAACATCGACGTGAAGGGACACATCGAGTGGCTGCCACCCACACGACCAACCAGGGCCGGGGACAAACTGCAACCGAAGTACGTGCCCTTAGCGGGAACCGAACCCGGGTCTCTCCGGACCGCAGGCCAACGCTCTAACCGCTGAGCCAAACTGGCCAGGGCTTAAAATGCTCTTTTGAAATATATTATTCTGATAATACTCTACATGGGCTTATAAAGAAGCAATAAGTAAGAAAACATGTTTACAGGAACGCTGAAATAGCATTGGGATGATTAGGCAATTTGTAGGAGGATACTTTGTTTAAAAATAACTAAAAAGTAATTTCATTAGTTCTGATTTAAGAGTATGGAGTCGAGAGTACCCAGTATTCGCAATGACCTCACCTTTAATGAGGCTTATATTTTTTAGACCAAGAATCTTTCATCATCACCCTCTGAATTGGGTCCTGACTTGGTTTTTCTCTTTTACGGTCTTTTCTTCACCATTCCCCATGAACACGTCCCGTTTTCCCACCAGAACTGAAATGCCTTCGAACCTAGCAACCATCTCAGTGGCTCTCAAGTCGATGTCATAGATGTTCAACAACCCCAAACTTTTCATGGTTTTGATTAGTGTAGTTTTTTTTTTTTTTTTTTCAAGAAGCACATGATCATCATTGGATTTTGGTTTGGAGTGGAACATCTCAGTTTTATGACTCTGTTGACATTAGTGTTTGAATACCAAACATTTTATTTGTATTTCCTGATTCCAT